GGATAATGGATGCAATGAAAAGAAAACTATTTGCTCTCTGTTCTGTGATAATTTCTTCAAGTCTTGGGTAGCTTCAATTTGATGAGCACACCATGAATGAGACTGGGTAATATCAGCACAATCGATTCTTGGGGTTAAAATTTTAAATTTTTCATATTTAAAATTCTCAATTTTAAACTCAATGTTTCTTATTATTAGTTTTTGGTAAGGAGCTCATCTTAGTGCTTATGACAAGTTTAGACATTAAAACATTCTTCACCCTTTATGACTAGCTTAATCCCTTGCCAAATCCTATTTATTTTCTCTGAGGGGTGATATATATTAACAGAATTTGGAAGTACCTTGCTTTTAAATGTATTTTCATACTCTTGTAGTTCAAGACTGCAAATAAGACTAGTTTAGGAAAAATGAGGATACACTTCTTGATTTGGGTTTTTGTGTTTAGATAAATGATCTCTGACTGAATGTCTGTCCTATAGCTCTGCCTTTAACCTGATCAACTATCACCTCTTTGCACTTCTGAGTGTCTTTATACCCGAGTGGCCACAGTAGGAATGAAGTTATTGAATCAGGAAAATGGAACTTCCATCAGACCATAATTCTCACTGTAGTCCAAATGTTCTTATGGACTTGAAGTTTAGCTAATGTGGATGTGTTATTTTCTGGCACTTCTTTTACCAGGTGTTTTGTTGTTTACATGGAACTTTCTTGAATGCTTGCTAAATGATCAACTGTCACCTCTTCTACAAAGCCAGGCCAGCGACTCTGAACCTGTTCTGAATTCTAGAGAGAACAACCCAGAAAGGTTGATTCCCAAGGGAGAATGACCCCTTCTTGGAGGTTTGAGGTTATGTTACAATATTGTGGAGCTTTGTTGCTTAAAGTCCTCCTTCTATCTTCATACGCAATTTTGCTAAAGTGTAATCATTACATTTGGGGGGTTGTTAAAACTTTAAGATATAGAGTTTAAATAACCCATTACTAACTGCATGCGACTCCCCCCAACAATGTATGTATGTCTGTGTACTTTTTGAAGGTGAAAGATGTTCAATGGTGCTGTAAATAAAATTTTTAAGAAATAAAAGTACAACCCAGGTGTTTGTGGAAATTGAACAGATAACCTGAAAGAGTTGACCTCACTTTGTCTTTGTCCCTTACCTTGGCAAACATGACTCAGAAATTCCTTAGTTTGGTTTTGAAAATTCGGGAAATTCTTGTTTTCTGTTTTGCTAGCCTCTTGTTCACACCTCTTTCTACTACCCTATACCATCTACAATATAACAAGGCCCATGTGTTAGTCAGCTTTCTGTTACTATAACAAACATTTGAGATAATCACATTTTAAAGAGAAAAGATTTATTTTGGATCATGATTTTGAAAGATTTAATCCATGACCAATTGGTTCTGTTCCTTTTGGGCCTGTGGAGAGAGAGCATATCATGGTGGGGAGCACATGACAGAACAAATACCTTCTTATTTCATGTCCAACAAGCAAAAAAGAGAAAGAAGAAGGGTCTGGGGTTCCACTATCAACCTCAAGGGCATACCCCCAATGACTAGAACACCTCCCAACTGGCCCTACTTCATGTTTTCTTCACCTCGTGATAGCATCAAGCAGGGGTCTAAGGCTTTAATACATGGGCCATTGGGGAACATTTAAGGTCCAAACCATAGCAGTTCATTTTGAAAAAATGTCACAAATCAATGCAGCTGTCTTACTTATTGTAAGCTACACTGATCTGGTTTCCTAGTAGAATATATTTGGTCCTGGGCTACCCAATAGGGTTTGCATAGAAAGGGAGCTTCTTGGCTTTACAGAATGGTAGAGAGGCCCACCATTATTTTGGAGAGGGCCCCATACATACATAGTCCTGGAAATCTCTCCATAGAATTGTATGTATCTTATGTAACCTTCATAAGTATGGAATTAAGAGAACAGTCTTCCACTATTTTAATTGATTTTATTTTGTCAATCAATTGATTGATCTGCATATATATTATAAACTTGTGCCAGTGACTCTGGCCTCTATGGAATTTATAGGCTACATATGAATCTAGGTAAGGCAATCCAGTTTTGTGGGAGTTTATGGGGAGCTTTGCAGGGCCTGGGATTGGGGCGGGCACCTAATGCTGGATGCATTCTGGTGCTCAAATGTCAGGGTCCAAGACTGAGGCAGCATCTCCAGGAGACAGCTGTGCAACTCTTCAGGACCACTGCTTCCTTCAATGAGTTTGCAGCATGGTGCCCAGGATGGACCCAGGACACAGAGACCCAATCCTCTGCCTACCCCATTCTCTCTGCATCCTACTCTACGGAATATTCTTCATAACACTCTTGCTTCATAACATGATATTAAACCCTTATTTCCCTCTCTCCCACTAGAATAAAGCTTGGTATAATCCATCATTGTCAGCTCGAATCACAGTACCTGTGACAGTACCTAGCAGCTCAATTAATACTCAAGTAGCGAATAAACACAAGAATGAACAAATAAGTCCAACTCCTATTTACAGTTATAGACTTTTGACAGTTTAAACTGAGCTTCAGTTTTCTGATTTATAAATGAGACTAATGAAGAAAACATGCGCTACCTACCCTGCAGGCTCATTGGAATCAGGAGATAATGCGCGTTGAGTGCATATTTAAATGTCAATGGATTTTATTCTCTTATACATTTGATCTGGCATTCTTGTACTTCCTGTTCTCAACCTGTCTCTTCTCATCCCCCTCTGTGAATTAATTAAGTACCATTCAATGCTAAATAGAACTAAAGAGGGGCATAAGCAACATGGGTGAAAGTGAGCCAGAATGAATGAAGAGTCCAGGATACCTTCTCAGAAAAGCTGGCTTTTTAAATGAATCTTGAAGCAATTCAATGAGTGAGAAAAAAGATAGAAAGAATATTCCAAATGGAGAGCCTGGACTTCACTCTTCAGGCAGCTGGCCAAGAACAAATTGGGGAAATGCCAGGAATGGAATATTTTTGGAAAACAGTTTTCTCCATACACCTCCCCTCCCACACTGGTCATTCCTGTACAGTGTTTTACACAACATGCACCCAGCACTTGGCCCTGGGTCTCCAGTCCTGCCTGACATCCTGGGCTCAGCTAGCTGTGGCTGAGGATGCATTGTGCGTTTTCCTCAGAGGGTCTGCAGACACTCCAGATTCACTGAGTTCACCTTAATGACAAAGCTGGCTCTCCTTGACATGTCTCTGTTGGTTTCAATGGGAGCATCCCGCCCACACCCCTTCCCCCAGATCATCTCTCCTAAGCAGCTCAAGTCTGGCCACTTGGTTGAAGGCCGCCTTTCCCTTCTTACTGTGCCCAGTGATTAATGTTCACCTGGATATTGTCTCTATGTCAGCACCCTCTTCCTTTCCCTCTCCCTTTCTCAGGTTCGTTCCTATCACCTTAGCCTGTGCTGTTGCAGAAGCCTCCAGACCTTGGGCCACCTCTCAACTTCCTCCTGTTTTTCCTTTACTCTAGGAAAAAAGACAAACCCTTCCACCTGCTCCCAAGGCTCTCTTTCATCCCAACCCCTCAGGCTTCACCTTTCTTCTGCAGATAAGAGGAACACAGAGATCCTGAAGGAATTAGAGGTGTCAGACTGGTCCCTGGCAGGGGGAGGAGGGACTCCAGATACCCATTGGGAGTCTTGCTCATCCGCCAAAAAGACATTTCACTTTTTCAATTACATTTGCCAAGTTATTTCCTTTCTGGTTTTTCTTTTTTGCCTATTTTTTCTTCTTCTCTGTTGGTGTGTTGCTTTGTCCCAAAGGTAGTTTCCTGTGGACTATGGACTGTGGCCCTCCTCTACCCAAATCCTGATTCCTGAGCACACTCTGAAGCTAACCCCTCCTGTGTGTGGAAGCAGAGTCATCTCTCTGCCCTCTGGTGTAAGGCAGGAAGGAAGTGAACCTTTCTTCTCTCATTTTTGTCACAGGGTAACAAGTGGGCCTGGGCTTTCTAACTAAACTCCAATTTATAGTCAAAATATTTAGATTCTCACACCAATTCTTTTAGGCTTGAGGATGCTGAAGAATTTTTGGATGGGATTTATAGCTACAGAGTGAGGTGGCATTTCACCTGTGTTTTCTGGGAGGAGGAGTCTGAAACAGAAAGAGCAAAATCCCCCTCGTGTCCGGCCTTGATAGGGGCTGGTAGTGGCAATGATAACAGCCAGGTCTCTTATCTACTTCAGAAAATGGGGCCCCTCAGAGCTTTCTGCAGTACTGGGAGTTTGAGGCTGTAATCTGAAGCTCAAAGGCATTCAGAAAATACTAATGCTATTGTTTTGCAAGGAGTTATACTTAATACTTGCTTTATTGCTTTTGCTTTCATTTTAAAAAATCAAACTACAAGTACTTCCTAAGTGGAGAGACATGATTTGACCCATAGTGTGACCAAACCTAGGTCATAAAAAAATGCTTTCCAGAGAAATGTTATTATAAAAATGAATATAGAGTACATACTAGGAAGTGTTGGGTTTAAACATTTTTGTCTGCTTTCAAATTTGAGCTCTGCCATGTTTAGTTCCTTGACCTTTGGATATGTATTGGTTAGAGAATTAACAAAAAGTCTCAGGCTTCATTTGTGCCATCTGCAAAATGGAATAATCATAGTTCCTGCCTCGTGGGGACTAAAGAAGATGACCAAGGTGGGGGGTCTCAACATAGTGCCTGATTCTGTAAGTGCTCTGTGAGTGCTGGATATTTCTAAAACGCCAAAGTTAATAAGGAAAATTTCAGCCAGATTCCTTTCTGTTTTAATTCTCTACTCACAGTGGAAATGTCAAAATGTATAGTGTAGATGGACATCCAATTAGATTTTAAACTCTTTGATGGCAGAGGGCATTTTATGTCACTTCACCAAGGAACAACATAAGCCTGATTATATACCACAAAAATACCAAGGGACCTTATTCTAAGTAAAGCAAAACAAGCCCAATGCGGAAGGGCTTCAAGGAAATATCAGGGCTTAATTCCATAGGCTCTCACCTCCCACCAGACACAGGGTGCTTGGCCAGTTATATTACTGATTGAGAGTTGCTGAATCCAGGGGTCCGAGTCATAGGCAGTGAGCACTTCAGCTGAATCCGGGGGAATGTCCACTTCTATTAATGCCCTGCGGCTAAGCACCACCAAGAACACACCTGTGGGTAAACAAATGAAGTTCAGTGCTTAATTCAGCAAAAAAGGAGACTTTTACTCCAGGGTTCCATGGTGTAACTCAGCAAGAGTGTTCAAAATGACCTATACTGTACGATTCAGGCCCATGTCAGGTGAATTGGAGGAGGAGTCAAGGAATCTTCTGCATTGGATGTTACCAATAAGTAGATATAATTTTGGGGGGTATCTTCATAAATGCTATTGACGAGGTGGGAGAAATGAAGCAAGGCTCAAATTTTAAATGGAAGCCACGGTCACTTATTTTATCCAGGATAAGGTCTGGTATTTTTGTGATTTGTGCAATGCTCTTGTTTTTGTCTGTGCTCACCCAGGCTTACAGAGTGACCTTGTTTCTTGCCCCACTTCACCAGGGTCATGGGATGGCCCCTTGGCTGGTGCTGGTATCCTCAGAAGTTGTGTCCAACAGGAGAATACCATGGCCCAGCTACAAGGGCCAGAATAGTCATACCAACACCAAGGCCTTTTGTATTTGCCAGTTTCCAGATGCCACGGGCCTGCTTTACTTTGTATTGCATTTTCAGTACTTAAAATGTGTATTGATGCATTTTAAAGGAGCAAGATATGAGGGTTTAAATCCTGGTGAAAAGGCCACTTGGAAGCTGTGCTGCCCCTGGGTGAATTGCTTCACTCTTTGGAGTGTCAATGCCTCCCAGGGCTGATGTGAAAATTAAATGAGATAATAATGCATGTTCCTGGCCAATAGTAATTTACAAATATGAGCAGTGTCTATTGAACCCCTCTGTGTAATTCTGCCTCCACGGCTGTCTGATTTTAGGACACGATCAAAAGTATGTTCTTCTTTTGCCTCATTTTATTTCCTTTAACCATGGGACGATTAAAAAAGAAATTCTTGAAATATCATGATCAGAAGACCTGCCTGCAGCTTAAGACTATTTCTTCCTTTGTACTAATTTATAAGAAATACTCCTGGATCAGTATCCACTTACCAGAGAAAACATTTGGCCTTTGGTTTTTGGGGACTGGCTTACTTCACTTAACATGATATTCTCCAAACTCCATCTATTTACCTGTAAATGCCATAATTTCATTCTTCTTTAATGCTGAGTAATATTCCATTATGTATATATACCACAGTTTCTTTATCCATTCATCTATTGAAGGGCATCTAGGTTGGTTCCACAGTTTAGCTATTGTGAATTGAGCTGCTATAAACCCTGAGGTGGCTGTTTCCCTGTAGTATGCTGATTTTAAGTCCTTTGAGTATAGACCCAGTAGTGGGATGGCTGGGTCAAATGATAAGTGCAATCCATAATGGGGAGGGAGCAAGGTAAGAATGGAGGAACTTAGGACTGAGCAGAGGGGAAGGTGGGAAAGGGAGGGGGTCTATATTGGAGGGAAGATGGAAGAAATGAGACAGACAGTATTACCCTTATATATAGGTATGATTACATGAATGGTATGACTGTATATCATGTACAACCAGATAAATGAAAAGTTGTGTTCCATTTGTGTAAAAAGTAAAATTAAATAGATAAAAAAAGAAATACTTCTGGATCACTTCAGCTATCACTATTGCTGTTATCACTATGATGGTGTCAAAAAGAGGAGCCAACTGGGTACAGTGGCACTTGCCTGTAATCCAAGCAGTTTAGGAGGCTGAGGCAGGAGGACGGTGAGTTCAAAGACAGCCTCAGCAACTTAGTGAGGCCCTAAGCAATTTAGAGAGATCCTGTCTCTAAATAAAATATAAAAAAATGGATGGGGATGTTGCTAAGTCATTAATCGTTCCTAGATTCAACCCCCAGTACCAAAAACCCACCAACCAACCAACCAATCAAATAAATAAATAAATAAGTGGGAGCTCACAAGCCTGGGAGAGGCCAGACTGTCATCCAGTCGCCAGGCATTGGCTGTCTGCACATCAGTAAGTGTTCTTTGAACACATGAATGAATGAATGAATGAATGAATGAATGAATGAATGAATGTATGTCAATACTGAAGTGTAGGTCTTCACACAGTCCACCAAGCAGGTATTTCCTTTGTCCTTTAACAGTGTCTTTCAAATGGTGTCCACTGAATGTTACTGAGTCACGCTGAATAGTTTGATGGAGAGAATGCTCTGAATGAGATATCTGTGGTTCCCCCAAATCAACAGTGTGTTGGGGATCAGATGTCCTATCTCCTGCTGACACAGCCCTGGTTGAAGGCTACCACACCCCTAATTCATTTCACACTGGAAATGTTCTCAGCCCCATTGCTCATTTGATAAGAAAGCCCCCTTTCTTCTATTTCTGGGTTTGAGAAGTCTCCTGTTCTCCTTCACCTCCTTTTATATGCTTCTTTTTTCTTTCTTAGAACATTTGCTTTTTTTGTTGTTACTAAATGGCAAAAACCAAAACGAAACAAAACCCCAAAAACCAAAAACCCAAAACCAAAAACCACAATAGTGAAGGCAAATGCAAAGTATTTCAGATAATTTCAAACCTCAGAGGAAAACATACTTAAAAAAAAAATCAAAATAAGTTTCTTCTTAAACTTTTTTTCTTAAATTGATAATGTATTCTACCTTTTCAAGGCAGGACAAAAATATCTTTCCCATTTTTATTAACAGATACATAGTATTTCATATACAGCTCTATCAACATTTTAAATATCAATTATTCTGTGGATATATTCTTACTTCCTTTAGAAGATCATGGGGACTTAAGTATCTCTGGCATAAACCATGCTTCATGGGTTATGTAGGTGTGGAGTTTGATTTAACATCACTAAAACATTTCTTCTCTTTATTTTTTTGATCCTTCTGCCCCTAATTTTCCAGGAGTATATACTCCTTATGTGATATCAGAAATAAGTTATTTAAGAACAGTATTCATGGCCCAAATATTTTCCTTAGTTCTGAATTCCAATGGCACTTATTGCTATTACTAAGCTATTTAATATTTGATTATCTATTGTGTTTCTTCAAGTACATGCAATGTTATGAGAACATACATTTCCTAATAACACTGACCCAGCCCTCCAGGCGACTTGTGCAAATGATGTAGTTTTAGTTTAGTTTTGTTTGGGGTGATGGGGATGGAACCCTTGTCCTTCTGCTTGCTAGGAAAGCTCCCTACCTTGGATCCAAACTTCCAGTCCCTATAGGATCTAATTCAGTCCTCTCCAAACCCCTATTAGTCAGTTCCCTCTTTTACTAATGAGAAAAACAAAATTAGAGAGCTTTCATGATTCACTGAACTCAGTTGCAGGGAGCCAGGACAGAAATAAGGTCTCTTTGATTGCAGAGTTGCTGCCCTATTCACTGTTCTGTGATATCCCCTACTTCAGGGTCCTCCGAAGTGCCCAGCACAGGGATTGACACACAGATGTTTAATTAAAATATATTTGCTGAACTGTGGTGGAGATAACCTTTCCTCCAGAGTCATATCCCATGAGCATGCTCAAGTCCCTCTCCTCAAAGACCAAGGTGCACAATTTGATCTGGTTGGCCAATTTTCACTAGGATTTCTCTTCTTTCTAGTATAGCAGCTGGCTTCTCTTCAGGATGTTGGCCTTGAGACTTTACAATGTGGAAAGAGAAAAGCCAGTGACCTGGGGAGGTAAAGTGGTTTCTGGAAACAGAAACATACACGGAAGACAAAGGGTGAAGCTCAGTAGAGGAGCCAGAATGACTCCACAGAATCATGGTTTAGTGATTGGCATTGAAATATAGGATACCTATTAATTACCCCTCTTATCTAAAAATTGCTCTCTAGAATTCATAATTGCCTTGTCATAAAAGAGGACTTGCATTTTGAACAGCCAGGCAAGCAAAAAAATCTGAACTTAAAAAAAAAAAAAACCTTTTTTTTTTTGAGATGGGGGTTTTGCTACATTGCCCAGGCTGGCCTTGAATTTGGTATCCTCTTGCCTCAACTTCCAGAGTAACTGGAATTATAGGTGTGTGCCATGATAACCACCTAATCTTAGACGTTTTAGTGTTTTTTAAAAAAATATTTAAAAAAATATTTATTTTTTAGTTGTAGTTGGACACAATACCTTTATTTCACTTATTTATTTTTATGTGGTGCTGAAGATTGAACCCAGGGTCTCGCAGGTGCTAGGTGAGTGCTCTACTGCTGAGCCACAAAACCTCCCCAGCCCTGTTTTAGTGTTTTTGAGCAGGTGATTTCTTAGGAAAACAGCCACACTTCAAGGTGACCTTGTCTAGCCCCTGCAAGGCAAGTAATGCTTTCAGAGGCCTGTCTGTCAGTAGAGATGTGATTTTCTCTTCCTCTGGGGTGCTCTACTTGTGAATATCTCTAAGTATTTAGATATTTAGTCAATCTATCCTTAACTGCAAGTTCTTGCTTCATTAAATTGTAACATAAGATTTACTTCTTTATATCTTGTCCAAATTGGGGAGAATTTGACTCTAGAACATGTCAATTGCACGTCAACTCCTATGGGGAAAAGACAGAGCCAAGTATCAGGAGTATAGAAAGGAAATAGCCGACAGAGCAGAATGAGAACCTTTTTACAAAGTCATCTTAGGAAAGATAAAAGCAAATGAGTAAAATTAAACCTTGGCCGAGGACTGCACGTATAGTGTGCACCTGGGAGGAGCCACGGGGAGGGGAGGGCTCTGGAATGATGTGACCAGGAAAAGGCTGAGGCTGGCTGTCAGGCCTGGGGCAAGACCTAGGAGCCAGAGACTAAGTGCTCCAAGTCATAACATGGGAAAAACACAATATTGGGCCTAGGAAAGAAATGCACCATGCCGAATGTTTTCTCTGATAAGCAGATGCTGCTGAATAGCGGGGGGCAGGAGGAAGAATGAAAGAACTTTGGATTTTGCAGAGGCGAGTGATGGGAGGGGTGGGGCCGTGGGGAAGGGAAGGGCAGTAGAATGAGACAGACATTATTACCCTATATACATGTGTGATTGCACTACTGGCGTGACTGTGCACCACGTACAGCCAGAGGAATGAGAAGTTGTGCTCCATTTGTGTACCACGT